AACAAAGCTGTTTTGCCTTCTTATCATTCTTGTGTTCAATGGAGTAGCACTTTTAATTTCCTTCAAGAACTTTTCCTTTGTATTACAACTTGGCTAACTGTTTGGTGCAAGAAGCCTAGCTTTTCGCCTATCTCAGCTTCTGACATATGTTCCTCATTCAGCTTGATCATTTCTAGCTTTTGATTTAAAGTGAGAAATGTGCGATTCTTCCTTTCACTTGAACACTTACAGGCCATTATATGGTTATTAATTGGCCTAATCTCAACATTGTTGTCTCAGGGAATAGGGAGGCCCAAGGAGGGGAGAAAGATGAGGGAACAGCCAGTCAGTGGAGCAGTCAAAACACATATAACATTTACTGAATAAGTTTGCTGTCTTATAGGAGCATGGTTTGTGGTACCCCAAAACAATTACAGTAATAACATCAAAGATCACTGATCACAGATCACCGTCACAGGCATAATAATAATGAAAAAGTCTGAACTACTTTGAGAATTACCAAAACGTGACACAGAAACACAAAGTGAGCACATGCTGTTGGAAAAATGGCACCAATGGACTTGTTTGACGCAGGGTTGCCAGAAACCTTCAATTTGTAAAAAACACAATATCTGCGAAGCATAATAAAGTGAAGTGCAATAAAACAAAATAGCCTGCAATAAACAATAAATAGCCTGATTACATGGGCAAAGAATTTGAATAGACATTTCTCCAAGAAAGATATGCAAATAGTCTACAAGTAGCTTCAAGGAAATGCAAATCAAAACCACCGTGAGACACCACTTCACACCCATCAGAATGGCTATAATCAAAAAGAAAATCAAAAATATTGTTAAGAATATGAAGAAACTGAAACCCTCATATGTTGTTAGTGAGCATGTAAAATGGTGCAGCTGTTTAGAAAACTGGTTTGAGAATTCCTCAAAATGTTAGACATAAAATTACCATTGCTGTTAGTTGACATCAAGTTGATTCCGACTCATGGTGACCCCCATGTGTACAGAGTAGAACTGCTTCATAGGGTTTTCAAGGCTGTGACCTTTTGGAAGCAGACTGCCAGGCTTGTCTTCTGAGGCACCTCGAGGTGAGTTCGAACCATCAATCTTTTGGCTAGTAATTAAAGGCTTACCAGTTTGCGCATTCAGGGACTCCACAATTCAGTACTCAAGAGAAGTGAAAAGGAGTTGTCTGTGGTTATTTTTATGGCATCATATAGCTATGAAACAATGACTCTGAAGCATAGGTACTGAATCTCATGAAAAAGGAAAACTTTTGTCTACACAGAAAGTTGTACATGAATGTTCATAGTAGCATTTTTCATAACAATCAAAAAGTGGAAACAACCCAAATACCTATCGATTGATGAATGGATAAGTAAAACGTGGAATACTCATACAATGGAATATTATTCAGCCATAAAAAGGAATGAAGTACTAAGATATGCTACAACATGGGTAAACATTAAAAACATTATGCTAAGTGACAGAAGCAAGACACAAGAGGCCATACATTGTATGAGTCCATTTATATAAAATGTCCACGATGGGCAGATCCGTAAAGACAAAGTAGATTAGCGGTTGCCTAAGGATGGGGAAGCGGAATGGGGAATGACTACTAATGCGTATGGAGTTTCTTTTTGTGGGGTGATGGAAATGTTCTAAAATTAGATTATGGTGATGGCTGCATAACTCTGTAAATAAACTAAAACACCATTAAAATGTATACTTTAAATAAGTAAACTTTATGGTATGCAAATTACATACAGTTGATTCTCATTAATCACAGTAGCTATGTTCTATAAATGAGCCCTGGTGCAACAGTGGTTAAGCACTCAGCTGTTAAAACTGAAAGGTCAGTGGTTTGAACCCACCAGCCACTCCATGGGAGGAAGATGTGGCAGTCTGCTTCTGTAAAGATTACAGCCTTGGAAATCCTATGGGGCAGTTCTACTCTGTCCTATAAGGTCGTTATGAGTTGGAATCAACTCTATGGGAATTTTTTTTTTTTTTTGTATGATCTATAAAGTTGCCACAAACACTGAATTAGTGAATACCAAACCAACTTTGTTCAACTTCAGCTGGCAATATGTGCATCGGGTGACTCAAGTTTTTCACTGCTCTGTGCATACACATATCCAGGAAAAACCGTGAAAGTGCCTCGAGTGTTGATGTTTGGGTTACAAATAAATTGTCCCAAGTACGTGAATTCATAAATACAGCATCTGTAAATAATGATAATCAACTATATCAATAAAGCTATTTAAAAAAAACTAAAATATCATTTAATTATCACTTCCACTGACATGTATAAATCATTCTTTACTTCAAAATATTACCCATGTACTTTCATTAAGACCAATATACTAAGCCCTTTATAAAATATATTAAGCTCTTTAGTATGTATTTTTCTTTTAAATTACTTTAAAACAGAAATTCTAACTTAAAAACAACAGTGTTTTTTTCATTCAGTTTTTCACCAGATGATGTAAACTGTTTTTATTTTACTCTTATTCTATAGTCAGAAAAACTTTGTTTTTTTTTTTTTTTTTTTTGTGTGTGCTTGGAAAGCAACATCTACAGATACATTTCTAAAGAACTGAATAGGAAAAAAGGAGAAATCAGAATGCTGTCTCATAGAAGGCTCAATATAGAACAACCTGTCACGCAGTCAATGATAACCACAGAGACGTACCAAACCCAAGTTGTCTCCTGTTCATTTGATGAATTCTACTTATTTTACTGACAATCAGACTATCTTTGTATAAATTCCAAGTTCTTTCCACATCACTTTGCTGGCACTCGGATGCTGGACTACTCTGTTTTGGGGCTCATATACCTACTCAATGAGCTCTGACCCAAACAGCTATACTCACAGTGTCCTTCCTACAGAAGTTTATAAACAATACCAAATGCCAAGTAGAAGGACGAAGACTATGTTATTGACACAGTTAACCCAGGCATCCTGAAGGTTGACATGACGTTTATATAACAAAGTTACTGTGGCAGACTTGCTGAGGCTATTGGTATCCCTTACAGTATAAAGGAGCCCTGGTGGCACAGTGGTTAAGAGCCTGGCTGCTCACTGAAAGGTTGGCAGTTCGAATCTACCAGCCACTCCTTGGAAACCCTATGGGGCAGCTCTACTCTGTCCTACAGGGTCACTATGAGTTGGAATTGACTTGACAGCAACTGGTTTGGTTTGGTTTGGCTTGGCTTGGTACAGTATAAAAGCAATTATTCAACTTCATACATAAATTGATGATCAAAATAACATAAACCAACAGAGGAAAATTCTAGCTTCAAGTTTTGAGTTCTACCACTTGGAGATCACCAGTATATTATCTCTAATACTTTTTTTTTTTTTTTTTTTAATTCTAATACCTCCAAGAAATAGAGGAACACTGTGAAATCTCCTAACTCCTAAAACTGGAAACTGGAACTCAAAACTACATCCCACACTGGTGAAATTCTCAGGCCAAAGAGATTTATCAATATTTTATGTGTATGAGGGATTGTTATTAAGAAGGCAGCAGAAATCTTAGAAGCAGATCTTCCAGCCCCAGTCAAGCCTTCCGATGACTGCAGTCTCAGCCAACATCTGGACTGCAACCTCATAAAAGACCCTGAGCCAGAACCATTCAGGTAGGCACGTCAGATTTTAGAAATGTGAGATAATAAATGTTTGTTGCTTAAAAAAAAATTTTTTTAAGCACAGACTCATCATTTTTATTCGAACTGAGTTTTAAAAAAAAATTCATGAGTTTAAGCCACAGCTAAGTGAATTTGTATCTCCCATAAATTTTCTTAACCAGAAGGAACCGCTTAGTAAAGAAATAACAAGAAAAAATTTAAAACTATCTTTTCCTGAAGTCAACAAAGACAAGAAAGGTAGTTATTTTTTCAGGAGTCAATCAGCTGCAGATCTACGCTAGAGGATGCTAGATAAATTCCTACTATAATTTCCACTGATTAATATCTCATCAACATTTTTACAGACTAAGAAGAACAACGGGCTGTGGGGTGGGAGGGAAGGAGTTGGCTCTCAACCAGAAATGAGAGCTGGTACAATCTTGGCTTCATGCTCTGATATGGAATTGGGCTCTACAGGACCTGTCACTTGACCATTCCATGACCATTCCAGTGCTTGAGAGATGCTAGGTAAGGTAATGACCAGGATACTTCCCTGCCCTTTTATTCCATGAAGTAGCAGACCAAGGGAAAACTACAGATAACTACCGTAAAACGTTTGAAACCATTCAATATCTGAGCCTCAAAGCAGCTACTCCACAGCGATGTGATACTATATAAATAACCACCTCCTATTCACTGAGCTCTAAACCAAATGTGAAATAATATTCAGAGTTCCAGTAAAGCATAGCGTTTCCTGTTATAAAATGGTTTTAAAGATATCTCTGGTTTACATAAGATAGAGAAAATTAACTTGACTTATTCTATAAGCAGAAAAATTCTCTAATTTTAGAATTTACTATTATTACCTATAGTAAACAGAAGATATAAATGCACAAAAGGGTTTTACTCTCTTATTTTTTAATAGCATTAAGATAATAAGATATGCCAGCACATGTGAGTAAAGAGTAGCCATAATTGTTCTAAAACTTTATGAAGGCCTGTAACAGATTTTCTACATTAAGGGGAAAAAACATTAGTTTAATTCCTCTTTCGTTATTTTTAAAATGCTACTTTGTGTGTGTGTGTGCGTGTGTGTTTATGTGTGTGAAAGGAACAATATTTTCAAAGCTCTAGATGGTAGTTTAAGTAACATCTTTCTTTTTGCCCTCCATATCCACTCCAGATGAATGTTAATAAGCTCCAAGGCACCTCTTCCTCCCTCCCCCTAAGACATGTTCATCTTATGGTTTCATTCTACTTTTCTCTCTGAAAATTTATCCTAATGAATGATTGACCATTAAAAATATTAAGGATAAATTTAAAAAACAAACATCAAATGCTGCATGTGATGGTAGAAATACAAGCATTTACCTTCTTCCCTCCAGTCACAAACTGCTTGCAACTGGATCTCACGAACTGTGGGTGCACGGCGATGATCTACAAGGAAAAAGGATCAAACACGGGTTTAGAGGTCACTGTAAAAGCACAGAATGAAAACTTTTTACATATTACAGGCAACATGACCTAAAAATTACCCTGATTATCAATCTTGGTGGGAAGTAATGTATTTAGTTAATATTCCACAACAACTGAGGACACTCAAGTTTTGCTCATGTATAAAAAGATTTCTTCATATGAAGCCAGGGCAAAACTAAGAGACTAGAACGAATTAGCTGTAGTTTCTGACTGAGCGAGGACCCCTCTCAGTGGGCGCCCCTTGTCGGGGGCAACAAAGGAGGTCAATCGTGGCAACAAGATGTCACAGTTGTTTGTAGATGAATACAACTCATAAAAGAAACCTAGAGAAAGAACCTATCTCCTTGTCCAAGATGCCTTTGAATGACTGATGGTACCAAGAGGTACAGAGGGTGCAATGCAGTTTCCCAAACAGTTACCGTAATTACACCAAGACTCCATCAATGGGAGAGACATCAGAGCTCTATGACCCAAGATGTACAGACCTCAGACGTTGAGGACTGTCTCTTACCTACAACTTGAGTTCACAACCCCCGGGTTCTCATCTACTTTCCACTCAGCCAATCTCCTCCCACTCCCTTATATGCTTCTCCCAAGACTGCTCCACCTTCAGACACTATTTGGTTTATTTGTCAGTGGTTTTATGATTATATAGTATCATTATATGGTGAGTAGGGAGAAGGACAATGAAATTCTAGTGGCTCTGCTCAGCGCACCTATGTCTTCTGGGCTCTCCTGTGGCTGTAAACTGCACATGCTCTGCCTCTATCTTTTTATCCCCAAACCACTCCTGAAACCACTGACTTAATGCAATGTTTTTTGCTAAAGTAACATATAGAATACTTCTAGGTATAAACACACACACACACAATTATACATTTATAAACCTTCAACTATATACATTTTATATTCTTTTTAATCAACTTAATACATTTCCCTCCTGCAATGGAACCTCTTCCCACATTATCTTTTTTAGGCCTTAGCATAATGACCCCTCATTTCTCCAACCGTTCCCACTTCACAGATTAGCACTTCATGCCTTCAGTGTTTTCCTAATTCATCCTAGATTAATAGTATCAAATCATTTATATGTTCTGTTCATTCTGAATTAAAATTTCTCTTAAGAGTCCTTTTAGTTCTCTTATAATGTGTAACTCTAGCTATCAACCATTATTCCCGATTCCCAGGCTCCTCTATGCTACCTGATCCATTTCTTCTCTCTGACCATAAGAAAATAAAGACAGCAGGGTCACTACCCTTGACTGCTCCCTCCTTACTGCCCAGCTTCACAAACACTGGGCTCAATCTCACCTCCCTCTTGCCTGTCTCATGGGCAAAGGCTGCAGGACTCTGTTCAGAGGTCACCCCTCCCCCCTACCTGTGCTGTTGATTTCATTCGTTACTGCTATTCCACTGAGTATCCCTTTCTTTCATTTTTCAGTTTTTTCCTTCTCTACGGAAATTTTACCATCAACCAAAACATGACCTACAGAAATCTTCTCTGGACACTGCCCCTCTCTCTACCAGTTGATCTTTCTTCTTTATTACCAAATTTTCTTGAAAGATAGTCTATATACTGCTTGTTTTGTTTGTTCGTCTGTCTTTCATTTCTAATTTACTTATTCATATGACAAGCCTCCTGCTATTCAACTATCCTCACTAAGGCCACCAGTAACTTCATAATTACCAAATAAAATAACCCTGTGTCATTCCTTACCCTATGTATCCTCCACACTGCCTATGACCCTGCTGCCCACTCCTTCCTTCTGGAAACTCTTTCTCCCTTGGCTTCCCTGACACTATTCTTCTGGGTTTCCTCCTGTCCCTATAAAAGCTTCTTCTTAGATCCCTTCACTTCCCTGCCTGGATCTTAAATTAGAATGCTTCAGAATATCACCGTTAGTCCTCTCTTCTCACTCTATAGCTTTTAACTTAAATGGCTTCCTCTGACTCAAATGTGGTTATCAAATTTGTGTCTTTAGGACCAATCTCCATCCTGAACTCCACACTCATGTTGCCAAAAATCTCCGTAACATCTCTACACAATGTACTACAGGTATCTAAACTCAGAAGCCAAGACCAAACTAACAATGTCTTACTCAAACCATCCCTTCCTGCAACTGACAGCATTCCCACCTATCATCACCAAAGCAAGATCCTGGACTCACCCTCAGCAACTCCATCTTTCATCATCCCCATCTACTCCGCCTCTGAGGCTTGTTAAGTCTACCTCCAAAAGGCTTTCCAAATTCATTTCTTCTGTTTCATTCTGAACATTCATATCACTCCTTTCATTGAGATCCAGCAGTACCCTTCATGGAGTGTTGCATTCCAAAAAAAAAAAAAACCAAACCCACTGCTGTCGTGTCAATTCACAGAGCCCCTATAGATCAGAGTAGAACTGTACCATAGGGTTTCCAAGAAGCTGTTAGTGGATTTGAACTGCTGACCTTCTGGTTAGCAGCCAAATGCTTAACCACTGTGCCACCAAGGCTCTTCCAAATCGTCTCTAGTCCCCAGTTACTCTCCTGCTTAAACCACCCTTCATTTTCCAGTCTTGAATGTCTAAACACACACTAGATCCTACCTATTTACAAGCTGACAAGTAAAAGTTTGAATAAACAAGTGAAAAGAAATGAATGGCCTCCTCCTTTACCAACTAAAATAGACACTTTATTACTTTTAGTCACTTTAACTACTGAAATAGACAATTTAGAGCATTATTATCTAAAACTGGTTCTGCTGTCCCTTGTCTATCAGCCCTCCAGTCTATACTGCATATAGTTTCCATTTTAATTTTACTAACCCTTAATTTTAACTGAAGTTTCTTTGTTCTTAAACATCCAAGAATTTCTCTTTATCTCCCAAAAAAAAAGCCAACATGCCGTCGAGTCAATTCCAACTCATAGTAACCCTATAGGACAGGGTAGAACTGCCCCACAGGGTTTCCAAGGAACAGGTGGTGGTTTCGAACTGCCAACCTTTATAGTTAGCCGGCAAGCTCTTAACCACTGTACCACCAGGGCTCCAAATGGAGTCCAAATTCCTTAGCCTGACTATAAAGCCACTCCCAGCCTATAACCCTCTTGCTCAATTAGTACTTTAAATTAGACTATGTGCCACTTCCTGAACATGACTTGAATTTTCTAGCCACCATTTCTATTGTGCTGTTCTACCATATGGAAACCCAGCTTCTCCATCTGCCCCTGTCTATTTATTGAAGCCCAGTCACACATCACTCCCTCTATGAAGCCATCCCTAAGAAGAATGGCTAAAAGTTACTTCTCTTAGCTTTGAACACCTTAATGTTGTGTTGATCTCTTTGAGTTTTTAATCATAGACTGTGTGTGTGTGTGATCTCACTCACTATATTAAAGGCTTCCTGAGGATAGACTGAGATCATAATATACATCCCGTCCTTCATCAAAGCCTTCAATGTAGTATCCAGAGCATCATAAGTGCTGAACAGATGCTTACTGACAAAATTAAAATGGGACTGATAGTTTTCAAAGTATTATAATCCTTATTGCCATATTTGGAAAAAACACTTAAGAAAAATAAAACTTACTGAATACTTACTTTGATGGGACAGTCAAAAGTCTCGTGAAATTCTTCTCCAGTATACAGTCCAAATACCTGTACCTAAAAATAAATGGACCAAGTCAGTTCACCGTGATAGCAACAAAGAGGGCTGCTGAGTCGGTAAGAATACATTCTCTCATTAAAAAAAAAAAAAAAAAAGCAGACATTTAATAATCCTATGGCCCCTGTGATCTCCATTAAATATCCAATGAAAACAATTCCATCAGGGTGAGAGGGCTCCACTGCAATTAAGCCTTTATAAGCATCCCATGGAATGAGATCCCTTTATTCAACACAAATTTGTTTTATTAAATAGATGCCAACTTTTAGAAGTGAAACAGATATGAATAGGATATTAATATTCTTTTATGAATTCCCCAGTCTATTCCTAAAGGATTTTTTTTTTCTTTCTTTAAGCAAAAGGGAGCTTCTTTTTGGAGTCATATATATAAATCTCCCACGCAGATTGATCAACGTGCTGAGAGACTAGATGAACTGTAATTCATTTACAATCTCATGCAGAATCTATTGAGAATATATAAATGTAAGATTTAAGTTCCTTCTTATCAGTGCCCCCTTAAAGTTATTCTGGTCTACTTTATTCATATTTAATCTCTTTTCTCAATAATTCACTTAAAAAATAAATAATGAAGTGGAATATAATATTGTGAGGTACAGAAAGCAATTTGTCCTTTGTTCTCAGTTCCTGAGAAGCAGACCACATCTGAGGCTAATAAGCAGGGCTGACCCAACCAAGAGGGACCACCTAGGAGACTGATATTGACTAACCTCAGAAGCATGAAGTAATCTATCATGGCCACATGGGGAGGCAGATAAGAGCCCTGAACATGGAGGCTCAGATGAGCTTCCTGGCTGGTGAGAACATCTGCTCTCAGGATGGTTACACATCCTTGGGCACACGGAAGCTTTTCGCTGGGAACCCTCCTCACCCTATGTGTCTCTTCCTTTGTATACTTTTTAGCTGTAATAAATCTGAAGTTGTAAGTACAGTATACTAAAAAAAAACCCAAACCCTTTGCCGTCGAGTCGATTCCGACTCACAGCGACCTTATACGACAGAGTAGAACTGCCTCCTAGGGTTTCCAAGGAGTGGCTGGTGGATTCAAACTGCTGAAATTTTGGTTAGCAGTAGAATGCTTAACTACTGAGCCACCAGGGCTTCCAAGTATAGTATACTCTCCATGAAATTCTGTGAGGTCATTCCAGCAAATTATCGAACCCAAAGGGGCAGTGAGAACCAGCAGGGGCTGGAGTCTGCCTATTTGGTAGTCTGTTGGACAGTATCCTTTTAACTTTTGAGCTATGAGCTAGCTTTGGTGGCTAGGGTCAGAGAAATGCTGCATGGGCACTGGTCTGAAGGAAGGTATCTTTCTCACTTGTGAGCTCTGACCCAGTGCCGGTGACCAGGGCTGGGGAGAGAGTGCAACGAGGTCAGCTGGCGACAAGGATGGAGAAGTGGGAAAGGGAGGACTGATACATCTCCACACTGAGGATTGGATTCGTGCTGATCCTTACCACTCAACTGGCAAGGAAGGTAGATTGACATACTTTGCCCCTTACTTAGCACAAATATACATATAGTAAAGGGTACAAATCACAAATGTACAACCTGGCAAATTTTTACAACATAAATACACCCCTGCAACCACCACTCAGATCGTAAGATAAAACATCTCCAAGACTCCAAGAGGCTCCTTGCTTTCCCTTTGCCAACAACAAAACCCTCAAACTAATCACTACCCTGAATTCTATCACCATAGATTAATTTTGCTCATATTTGAACTTTATATAATTGAATCAGACACTATTTCACTGACTTCTCTCAACATTTTCCTTCGCAGATTTATTCACATTGTTGCATATAGCCGTAGCTGGTTCTTTGTCATTGTTGTGTAGTATTTCAATGTATGAATGAATATACCACAATTTATGTATCCATTTTCTTTTGATGATCATTTAGGGTTTTTCTGGTTTGGTGCTACTATGAATAATGCTGCCAGGGACACTCTTTACAAGTTTTTGGTGCACTCATGTATGCATTTTTGAAGGGTATGTAACTAGGAATGGAACTGCTAAGGCATAGGGTATATATATGTTCCTGTTTACTAGACAGCCAAGCTACAAAGTGTGTGTGGTTTTTTCTTTTTTTCTTTTTTTACCAATTTACATTCTTACTAGCAGAGCAAGAGACTTCCAGGGGCTCTCAAACACTTGGAACTAACTACTAGGAACACTTGGAACTACTGCAACGAGCTGGGAAGTGTCTGCTCTTTTCCTAGTATCTAGCACAGTAATATTATATTTTCCTTAAATTTTGTAAGAGTTTACCAGTGAAGCTATCAGTGTCTAATGGCTTCTCCGTGGGAAGGTTTTTAATTGCAGATTAATTTTTTTCAACAATAGATACAGGACTATTCAGATACTCAACTTCTTCCTGTTTTAATACTGTTAACCTGTGAGTGATTCATTTTTGCAAGTCCCAAGAGGAAAATTCACTCATGTTACAATTTTTAGAGTCAAACTCATGTATTAACTGATAAAACTTTTAAGACACCAATCATTTTGTGACTACTACTTTTATGGACTTTTGCCAAATACGGGCTCTAAGAATGGTACAAGGTGTAATGTAACATAGAGAAAATTTGATCTACTCTGAGGTAGTTTCTTAAAAACTATTCATGAAGTTGCAAATACATGTATGTCCCACCAACACCTCACTGTTCAGACGGTATAAAATCATTACTGTTATATAAATGTATAAGCATAGGATATATTGCACTTCTTTTAAAACGGTGGTTAAGAAGCAGAAGAGGAAAAAAGGCATTGTATTTGGGATTTTACTTTACACCAGGGAAGTTTAACTTATTTGATCCCAACAAATCTGAATAGGGTGAAAGTAAGGGAGGTCCTACATCACCTGAATCCTACTGGAGCAAATCAACAAATGCTGAAGTGGTCAAGTTACTGAAATTACCTCAGAATGAACGTGTGTGGAAGTAGGAAGTTTAAATTCTTCTAACGTTATCCATTTATATTCAATACAACAGCACTTAAAACCTGGTTCTAATACTAATAATAACCTGAGTCTTTAAGTACTTCACATGCTTTACCTCAGTGGCACTCAAACCTGATTGTACAGTTCAAATCCGTGAATACTAATGCCTAGGCTACGCCCCACCCCTCACCAACCAATTAAATCAAACTTTCTGACGGGGTGGAGTCCAGGCCGTGATAGTTTTAAAAGCTCCACAGCTGATTCTAATATGTAGCCAGGGATGAAAATCCTGCTATACCTCATTTGATCCTTACAGCAAACACTTCAAGGTAGGACAGCAAAAATCATTATGCCGAGGCACAAGAAAAATATTAGCCCAAGAGACAAAAAGGGCCACATAAACCAGAGACTCCATCAGCCTGAGACCAGAAGAACTAGATGGTGCCCAGCTACCATCAATGACTGCCCTGACAGGGAACACAACCTCTGATGGAGCAGGAGAAAAGTAGGGTGCAAAACTCAAATTCTAGTAAAAACACCAGACTTAATGGTCTGACTGAGACTGAAGGGACCCCCGGAAGACATGACCCCCGGACACTGGTAGCCTAAAACTAAAGCCATACCCGAAGCTGACTCTTTGGACAAAGATTAGACTGGACTATAAGACATAAAATGATCCTCGTGAGGAGTGTGCTTCTTAGCTCATGTAGATACATGAGACTAAATGGGCGTCTCCTGTTCAGAGGCAAGACGAGAAGGCAGAAAGGGGCAGGAGCTGGTTGAATGGACACAGGAAATACAGGGGGGAAAGGAGGAGTGTGCTATCACATTGCAGGGATAGCAACTAGGCTCACATAACAATGTGTATATACATTTTTGTATGAGAAACTGACTTGAACTAAAGCACAATAAAAAAAAAAATCATTGTGCCTATTTAACAGATGATGCCCCAGAAAAATTAATGACTTGTCTGAGTTCATAAAAATACTAAGCAGAAGAGTGGCACCAGGATCCAATTGTTTTAAGTCCTAGTCTCCTACACGGTATGTTTATACAAGATAACGTAAAATTTGCAAATAAGAACAATATCATTTCAACATAAAGTGTTAAGAAAAGTAGACTAGAACAAAAAAACATGCAAAAGCCTCAGATGTTTGCCAAATTGAAGGTGAGCGGCCGACTTTGATTTTGGCAACTCCATGAAGCAGGCTGCACACGCAACCAAATAAACTTCCTCCTGCTTATCTGTCGGGTAAAGGTGACTTTTAAAACAAAAGTTACATAATTTTTATTGTGCTATATAAAGTATACGAGAGGTAAACAAATGATGTATAAACCTGCTGAGAAGGACTGAGATATTAATAAATGAGCAGATAGATAATAGGTCTGTGAGTCTAATGGTGAAAATTAAATTATGAATGTCCAGAAATAAAAACCCTATGAAAATTATGAATGCTTACTGAAGCTATAACAATAGTGTGATAAGGAGGAGTGAACAGAAGAGAGAACAAAAAACAGAAGTTCTTAGCAAACAGGCTCTAAAAGTCATCACCATCATTGAGAATCAGTCAGAAGCTAACATGCCACAACCTACTCAAAGTGGGGGCTGGAGGATATCTGCAGGAGGTGGAGCAAGATTAGAACTCTCAGGTCAGTTTCTATTTACTATGTTTAACCGAGGAACATTCTCCTCAACTGTTCTCCATTCTGCTCAACTGCTCTTATTTTCTTCTTCAGTGTGGCTAACATTATAATTCGTCAAGACAAACATCATAAACTATGCCAGTATAATCAGACTGATTTGAAAAATGTTTTGGTTTATTTCACCAATATTAACAGCCCAAACTAGTTGAACATGAACTACTACTAAAGCTAATAAAATACCAAACAATTCCCATTCATTTCCTCTCCTTCTCACTTACTCTGTCTCTCTCTCACCATTTTGTTGGTGAAGATCGTACTCATCTGTGAAAGAAATCCCTTGAATGATAGCCTAATGGATTTCAGCTGTTAGGAAGATCTTGTCCAAGATAAGCATCACATATTTAAAGGTTAAAATAGAAAGCATCCTTTTGAAAATGGCATCCTTTATAGCAGCTCTAACAACCCAACTTGACACAAACATACCTAATGGAAAAAAAAAATACAACCAGATAATTCATAACAACAACTGGTCTTCCAGCCCATCTACTTGAAACGTCTTGGAGGATTTCTCGCTAACTACAAACCTATGGAGCCATAAGAGTATCATAGGTGTGTGATATGTGTTTTACTTCCTGAAACAAAGCACACCTGCCCTTATGAAACAATAAGGAAGGCTGTAAGCCTTGTCCACTTTAGCATGGAATTCTACGTCTTTCGCAAGCTATTACTGAGGTGGCCAGAGTGCTGTGCAACCCTCTCCAGTCAGTACTTCCCTTGTGACAGCCTGTCTCAGATCCAGCTTCCAAATAACAATAGACCAAGAATTAAAACAAGGCAGAATACCCAAATGGTGCATTACATCTAGGGTGGTAGCTAAGCACACCCTAGTAAGGGAGATTGTTACTTTTCATATTCAGAGTAGCAGAGATAAGGGAATAATGACAGGAGAAGCTCCTGCTTCACTCTGGAGATTTGCCTAAACTGAATACATCTAGTGAAAGGAAAGCAAGCCATGGCCTATGCACATTAATAGGACCACTGCTGTGGATCCGAGAAGGTGATTTCTACAACACTCACAATGATGACAAGTACAGCCAAGTCAGACACTGAATCTGTTTCCTAACTGAGGTTCTCCCTGTTTTGGAATAGATAAATAAAAACATACACAAGGTCCCTGAAAAAATACTACAGAACACAATTCAGAAGTGAATCATTAGTAATAAAAACAGTATATACTGAGAGCTCACCATTACTTTGCTAAACACATATAACTTTACAAGATTCTCATAAGGACTTCCTATTATGCCCACTGCCCACCTGAGGGAACGGAGGCAGAGAGAGGCCAACAATGAGCCCAACTCAACACAGACGACTAGGAATGCAAGCCCAGGCAGGTGGAATGTGCTCATTAGCCTCTAAGCATTGCTGTCTCCCCACCGAAATATTATTGAGTTGTTTTTGAAAAACAAAAAAAAAGAAGCTGAAGCAACAAAAACAAAACAAAACAAAAAAAAAATTAAAGTAAAAAATATAACCAAAGTAAAATTTCCTGAAATGAAAAAAATACTTCAATATACAGGTCAAAGGGCTTATTATGTTCCAGGCAAAATTAATGAAAACAGACCCAGAACTGGGCATAACTAAGCAAACTGAATTACTGGTATTATTAATCCTCCAACTCAAAAAGAAGACAAAAAAGAATAAATCTAGGCTAGCCTTATGTATCTCTACAAAAATAAATGTCAGAAAAAGTTGAGAGAGAAAATATTTCAACCCAGGGATTTTTTACTAAATTACAATCTAGTTCATATGAAACTATGCAAGACACCAGAAAATACACTTTATATATACTTACCCTGAAATTTACCTAAAAACATATGTCAGCTGACTTTCAGGATAAGTATACAAGGTATATTTTCTGATATCTTGCATATACATCTTGTATACACATACGAATATAAAATAAAATATATGCATGGGTGAGTCAATCTTAAAATTTAGAACTCAAGCACAGAGAAGCATGGAATAAAATGATATTGAGCACTAGTGGAATAAACAGAGGAAATGTAAACAACTGTTAGAATTATAACTTCAAAACTAGATACAAATATTAAAGGTTATAATACAAAAGTTATAACATAAAGGTTGATAAAACAGAAGATAATTATCTGCCTAGGCACCTTAATACATCAAAGAAAAAAACAGAACAGCCATTTAAAGATACATTAGATCTAGACATCCAGAATTTATCTTCTTAATAATCTTTATGATTTTATCAGTACTAACCAGTTTTACCAGATCATTCTATACCAGCTATTCAAGTTTTACAGTTCTAACACATGCTAATGGAATCGCTTACATAAACATGTGCACTGAAAGATTTATTTTCAATTCTATCAGTGCTAATAAAACATGAGAAAACCATTTTTCAAAATATATCATGGGTGTACACCAAAATACAGCAAGATATAAATCTGACTAAATCAGAAAACAGAGGTGTTTGTCAAGAAGTGTACCAAGAGATATCTGAGCATCACCTCATTATCCACCATATTCCACGTTGCCACATTAAACAATAATTCTTCCACATAAACATATTCTATGTGTCACATTAAATAATAAATTTCAACATTTAAAGCTCTGAAAGAATTCCTGGATAAAGTCTCTTACTAAACAGCCTTTTCCACTTAAAAAAATAAATATTCTCTTTCAATACATTAGTTTAATTAAATTGGCATAGTCTAGAAGGAATCTCTCATCTTTAAGAAAACAAAATGCAGATTATCTTTCTTTACAAATACATGAATACAAAAATGTTTCAATACTTTGGATAATAATTCTCAAATTTTGCACATACCAACTCCTCCCTCATCTCTCTTTGACAATCGTGTCCATCTCAGAATTTCAGAAAGTACTATAAAATTTGACAATGCTTTTTTGAAAAGCACCACTGTGCTGATTACTGTTTCAAAAGACTCTTTGGGCAACATTAGGATTAGATATATAAAATGCATTCTTACATGTCAAGAGGACTTCATTTTTCTTTGGTTAACAGATTAAATCGGTATGTATCTTTGACAGTACATTGTCTTTAATTTACTCATCTTAATGGCCTATTGGATTTAGATGATGTAAAAATTACAAAATTAGATTAGGAAAACTGTTCTATTCAGTACAGAACACGCGAGGTTCCATAATGATTCCTAATGCACTCTCTTCTTAAACAGCTGTTTTAGAAAAGTAGCTTAAATACACTGTGCATCAGAATTTTATCATTGCAAACCAACATTAAAAAGACTTTCATCGACTTAAAAACAAAAAAGACATTCTTGTAAGTGGAAAATCAATCACCGCTACCACTAAATGTCACAGCTCAACATCAGCAAGAAGCACTGATAATTGTTAGTCATACACCGCACACATGATGTACGTCCTCAGTCGAGGAAGTAGGAGCCAGGTTTTTAGAAAACTGTACATATATTGATTTTACATTTATTTAATGTGGCCATTGTAAGACACTTTATTCTTCTGATAAACTATGACTGCTTATCAAAAGATCCTATAATTCAAGAGAAACATTCATAACGTGTGTGAAAATGAAAACCACCGGCCCGCAGAAATCACGCCCACAAAATCCAATTCTGTGGATTTATGGCAGAAAGGCATTAAAGTACCGTCCTGCAGGAACCGCAGACTAGTCACTGAAGTATAAGTGGCACAGCAATAATGATTAAGGTGACACGTCCCCCTGCCACAGCTGTTAATCAGCTTAATACGAGTTACATTATTGACATTCTTGTAATTACTTTTCCTAAGGCACATTTGTGCAAAATACATTTTACTTTAATTATGAGCAATCGGAGGCGAGTCCAATACCCAAAAAGAATAATCAAGTTTCTCTTAATGCAAGTATATAGTAAGCACAGCACTTTCCCCACCACCAGAATTTGGGTAAAATCATCGAGCTCAGCGTGGGAGCAGGACTTTAAACGTGACCATGTTATTATGACCATACCTTGCCATCCTCCGAACACACACCCATGTGTTCTCCACTTTCATCCAGGCTAATCTGATTTATCTTCACAGGACTCTATAAAAGAAAAAAAAAGGACACGTAAACTTTAGGAAGGGATCTATCATCAATCAGATGCCTTGGCTCTTGGTAAAATTTAAGTGATATAAATGGTCAATTAGTTTGGATGCAGGAGTCCAAGAAATATTTGGTTTTTACAAATGAAAACAGTACAATAAACTTTGTTCCAAACATGTAATAAGCCCAGAAACCTAACACTCCTCCAGATTATGTTTCAGGTACCTAAAGTCCCAGCTGAAATGTTATTTCTCACATATTCTATACCTTTTGATCTGTTGCGTTCTATTTACTCCATACCCCTCTAAAATTATCTTTCCCAACTGAAATCCACTAAAAGAACAAAAAACAAACACCAAAATAAAAATCATTATGTAAATAGTTTTAGTTTGGTTCACGGCTCATCTATTTGTTCTTCTAGAAGTTACTATGTAAACTTATTATTTATACTTTATGCTTAGTACTTTCTGGAAAAAATACAATGTCTAACTGATCTAACTTTGTTTTTCCCCATATTTTTGACTAATTTCAAATTTAAATATAGGAATCAGGCTGTCTACTTTGGATACATTTTCCAAAAAGTAAATACAAAACTATATTTTTAAGACTTTTATACCGCTTTCCATCCTCTATGTAGCCAACTGTTTACTTACTAAAATATTCATACAGGTGGATTTTCTAACAGACATTAAAATCAATAATGCTGACATCATTAAAAAATGGTAAGCTCTTTTTTTCTTAAATAATGATTGCTTCAAACTTTTTTACACAAAGCATTGTACGAACAAACTAACTGTGAAAAGGAAAATAAGCCAAAATATCAGTTACAAGAGGAGCTTGCAAATTAGTTTCTAAAAAATATAAATATAAAAATATAAAATGGTTTCGCTTTTTACTAAAAATAAATGGAAATACACAAAATTCAATGTTGAATTCTTAAATGGAAAATATCTCGGAACTAGTAAGCAAAGGTCAGGACAGAGCAAGACTCCAGACCTAGCCAGCCAGCCACTCACTGACTGATGACTCGAAGAGACATTCCCATATTACAGGTTTACACCGCTGGCTACAGATTCCTTTTTCATCTTGGTCCCTAAATTACCAAACCAGCAACATTCCTGAAATGCAGTCCATGAAAAACAAGCTATCTCCTTAAAAGCTCCAAGAACGTTAGAAGAAGGGATCTTGAAGGTAGATCTTTGATCCATTTATTAATAGCATAAACTGAAGCCCACAGACAACAATCACAACAGAAAAAGAGTATAGCCAAGACTACAAACTCTGTAGGAGGAAAACGTGGTAATGCGAAGGGAACATTCTATTGTTGGCCAACTAGGAATATGCAAAAACAAAACAAAGGCTGAAGTGGGAAAGCACCTAAGCCAGCAGGTCTGAACTCCTGGCTGAGAAGTCAAAAAGCTCAGCTTCTACAGTCGCCTTTGGATAAATTAAAAACAAACAAACGTTGCCAGCGCCTAGATTCTGACTCACGGTCACCCCATGTGTTACAGAGCAGCACTGCTCCATTGGGTTTTCTTGGCTGTAATCTTTACGCAAGCAGACCCCATGGTGCTACTGGCAGGGTTCGAACCGCCAATCGTTTGTTTAGTAGCCCAGGGCTAACCCAATACCTTCTTCAAATTGAGTATCTTCACTTATCAGTTTCCTCATTCTGATGTTTTGTTCACCAAGCAACACTTTAATATCCATTTTAGTCTTGGCAAATATAAATCCCACATACTTGGCAAAAATGGTTAAACACTCAGCTACTAGCTGAAAGGCTGGCAGTTTAAACCCACCCAGAGGGGCCTCAGAAGACAGACCTGGCAATCTGCACCCTAGGGAACAATTCTACTCTGCACAGATAGAGGTGCCATTAGTCAGAATTGACCTGATGGCAACTAACAACAAAATATCTCTGATTATAATTTAATTGCCATCCTGTTACAAACTGCCTCAAATTATAATTTCACAGACATGTGTAGCCTGATCTACACCGCGGTTTCCTGCACTGTGCACTACGTTAGCCACTTACCCAGACTGGCACATGTTAAGTGCTCAAGAGCCACATGTGCCTAGTGGCTACTATATCGGAAAGCAAACATATCACAGAACATTTTTATCATTGCATAAAGTACTAAATCAGTGATGGATGAAACAAAAAAAAAATCAATATATAAAGTCCTTCTTTACTACAATCCACACTCAGAAGTATACTTTCTGCTCAACATTTATCTTATTATCATACACATGTTAAAACTTATATAATTTGTTTCCTCAGATTCTGGTTCTAAAACGTTCATAGCCTCTCCTAATATCCTCTTGGACTTAAACCTAAACCATACTGTATTATTTATTTGCATGAATCACAAAGAAATGGTATAGATTTATCTGATCTTTACAACTTCAGGGGAAAGCAGTCTGCTAAGGATGGTTATCTCCACCTCACAATAAGGAAAATGAGGCTTCAAGAGTTTATGTGAGTTCCCTAAAACCACAGTACTACCAAGTGGCTACGCCACACGGTGGTTTTCCAAGCACAAATAAACCAAACTTTTCATTACATGTTTCTTCTTGAATACAAACCATTACAACAGCAATAGCAGAAGGAAAAAAAAAAAACTCAAATAATCACTTTCCATTAGCCACTGTGCAAACTCTACATATAGACAATTCCTATACCTAAAAACAGGCAAACTCTATGTTCCTAGAAAGGATACATAAAGTCAAAAAAAAAAAAAGATTCTTTCATTAAAAATTAATAGCTGCACTATATTATTCTTTTATCTTACTTAAAAAATTTTTGTAGACTCTGGAAATCAGGAAAAAATTTTTTTTTTCAAATTGTTGCTGCTGTTCTGAAATAAAAAATAAGAGTCTTATTTCCTCAGAATATTTGTTTATTCCCTATGTACAGGGAAAATTTTTTCATAATAACAATCAGCTCCCTCATTAAATTCTCTAGTTAATTCTAATCATTTTACATTAATTCTGTTGGATTATCTAGATAAATAAAAATATGAATGACAAACAATGACCATTTTATCTCCTCCTTGATTAAATACATTGGCAAGCAGTGGTGATACTCGGCACTCGTGACTCTTGCCTCCCCTTTCATGTTTCACCATTACGATCCTGCCTTTGTGATAAAAATTTCAGTTTGAGAAGGAAGGATCCTTCTACCCTCATTTGCCAAGAATTTTCATTAGAAAAAATAATTTATTTTTACCAAATGACTTCAAAATGCATGAAAATTACAAAATGTTTTAAACGCTGGTCTTATTATACGATTAATTTATATTAACAGTTTTTCTAATGTGCATCCGCTCTTGCATTCTAAAAACTATTTCCCGTTGCCACTGCAAAAACAGCTAAAATGTTACTGAACACACACACATACACACATGCTAGATTCCTAGGAACTGAAATGGTCGGTTAAAGGGCATATATAAATAATCATTTTTAATAAATGTGGCTAGTTTTTCAAAAAGCTGCTCACATTTCTGCCAACAAAATATGAGAATCTTCTTTCCCCTATATCTCTGTTAGCAATGGTAGCTATTTTTTTAAATTTCTGCCAATGATCAATGTTCATTGATTCATTTCCTTGACTACTAATAAACTTGGGGATTTTTCTTAAGTATGTTGGCCATTTAATTTACTCCTCTGTAAACTGCTTGTCAAATTGCTTACTCACGGAGGCGTGGTCAACATGGCGGAGTAGTTAGACGCTTCCTATATCCCTTTTACAACAAAGACCTGGAAAAACAAGTGATTTGATTTTATGTGAACATCTGGCAGCCCTGAACCAGGCAAGGTTAAGAAATCCATCTGAGTCATACCGGAGAGGAAGACCGTTTGGAAGAGGTGAGGAGGGCTAGAGCCATGGCATTGAAACGGCAGAGACACAGCCACACCGGTCCGCGGTGAAGCAGGCAAACAGCTGTGCTGTGCGCGTGCTCAAGGAGCAGTTTCCACATTGAGAGAGACCCAGCAGCAGAGATTCTGCTTGGACACTCCAAACCAGTGAAGAGGAGCTCCCAAGAGGATAGGATAAGTACATGCATGCACCCTTTCCTGCTGATCTACAAAAAAAGCCCATTTGGGAAAAGCCTCTCTCCCTTTTACCTCCTACCTCCGTGCTCTGCACCGGACATGGGAAAAACCTCTCTCCCTTTTATCTCCTCCCTCTGTGCTCTGCACTGGATTTGGGAAAACCTCTCTTCCTTTTACCTCCTCCCTCCCAACTCTGCACCGGGAGTCTACTGGGCTGGAATTAGATAACAAAAGGTGCCCTGACCAATTCTCCTGGCCTTGGAGAGGGAACAAATGAGCTGCTGGCTCCACTAGGCCAGAAACACAGGGTCGGCACAGCTTCTTTGCTGGCCACAGAAATCAGGGGTCCCCAGACTCTGAGTGCCATACACCCCTGTAAAGACTTGTGGGGACCCATATCAACAGCGTTAGCCGTCACTGCCAAAGTACAACAGGGCAAACATCTGAAGTTTAACTTCAACTGCTTCAGCTGTGAACTGACAGATTTGTGACCCTCGAAACAGCCCTGCCCCTCAAGTAGGCACTATTATTGATCTGCAGCAGGGTCTTGAGGACTGGTGGTAGCTCCTAAAGTGCCTAGTCACCTGCTACAGGAGTTCAAGAAAAAGTGGTGCCCTCAAGTATTTGCAGCCAACATAGTGGGGTGCTCTTAGCCCGGCTGCAAAACTCACCTACCTATTCACCCTAGAGAATAGGGACACGCTTTTCTTTCAGACTCTCAGGGGCAGCCGTCAGCCCCCTGCCTGGCTCAGCATGTGATCCCCTACCAAAGCCAGAGTCCAGTGCCTGCATCAATCACCCATGCCTCTCTAGGACTGGGGGTGAGAGCCTGCACCACACACTTGGTGACCGACTGCCTGCACACCCGAGCTGATCCCATATAAGAAATTTTAATGGACTCTGGTGTGCACATACTTAGTTACAGAACTAACTACCTGGTGACA